AAATAGCACTGTATGAGAATTTTACAAGGGAGCTCCGAATGACTGGCTCCTTCTCCTTCACACTGCAGCTCAGGGAAGGCTTTCCCTGAGCATTCTAGGGCATCACTGACCCATGCCTGCCTCTTAGTCCTCTGTCATCTGTATAACATTGTCGGTATCTGAAATCAACAACTTATTCTTATTTTCTTTATTATCTATTTCCACCTTCAACTAGAACATAAGCTTTTAAAAACTCAATTATTCATTAGTTATTAAGTGAATTACTGAATGGATATATGCATTGATACACTTCTGCAGTTTTTCTCCTGGTTCCTGAGTTTCCCTCTAGAATTCTCTCTAGAAGCTAGAAAGTATCTGGATATTTCCCAGCTTCATCAAAGATGAAACAGTTAGTGTCCATTGCTACTACTGAATGCTGTATGTCCCTGCCACCCCGCCCCAACCTGGACTTATTTATTCATAAAGTTAACAGTTAACTCAAGTGAAGTTTAGGCAAGTACAATCTAGAAAGACACTTCCTAGTTTAAGCAGAATTTTTTTCCCCCTGCCAGGAGACATATTCTGTAGAGAAACACAACTGTGTTACACCTTTGAAAGATGAAAAGGGGAGAGAGACTTACAAGTGCATCAGCTCCTCTTTCTGGAAAAGAGGCGGAAAATCGAAGCAGGAGACTACTCTCAAGAGAGCTTGATCTATCCAGGGGAAGTTCAAATGGTTTCAAAAGGAAAATATTTATTTTCACCCAGGTAAATTATTATTCTCTCTGTCAGGGTGAGGTCTGTAAATCTGTGAAGGGTAATATATAAAAGATAATCGCCAGCTGTTGTCTATTTGGAAAGAGGCTACAAGAAGAAGAAACAAATGCCCTCAAACAGATTGTGGGTTCCTTGAGGGCTCACATATATTCATTGTGGGTTCACATATATTTTGGGGTCTCTAATGAACAACAGCCCCAATGTATTTGTGACATAAGATAATAATTAAGCATGCATTAAATTGCCTGCATATACATGCGAGGGACTGGGCTGTATTTCAATGCAAGGAAAAATCCCTGATTAGGGAGTTACTTAAAGCTAGAAATCGGGTTCCTGAGAGAGGCCAGAAATTTCTTCTCTGAATTTCTTTTCAAAAGAGGGGAAATTCCTAATTCAGTTATCCTGATAACTGATTTTTTTCCCCAAATATAACGAAATGAATACATTTTTCTATGCATGACTTTTCTCAGTCCCTTCAAAATATATCCTCCCCACATTACTATATTATACAAGAACAAGTTGTGGTAAAGTTAGTTTTTAACAAAAAGGGCAATCTTCCTTCTACTCACTGCAATTCAAAAACATCATGATTTTATAGAAAAGTCACTGGATTCAATAACCATAAATGACAATAAAGTGATATGGTCTGAACCCTGGCTTTGCAGATGAGTGACCTTCGTTTTGGAGAGACAGAGTTGAGAGGTCACACAACCTTTCTACGCTTAATGGGGAGGACTTCACTTCCTCGGCAATGAGAATCCAGGGTTCGAGGACTGACGTGGAGTTTGCGTCTAAACATGTTCTTTAGCATCCAAACATGAAATACAAGATCTACAACAGGATCCTCCCTAAATTAATATATGCTGAAAGGGGAAACAATTTAAAAAGAAGAGGGACAGAGGGGGCCACGTCTCAATGAGACAGGGAATTTTAAAGTCCTAAGTGAGAAGTGAAAATACCCAGAAATGTGTGCCACCACCTTTTAAGATGCTTATTCCCTGAATGTCCTTTTGATGAAGTAAATTCATTTAGAGGCTTATCTGTAACTCTAAGGTATTCTATTTGAAGAATGGTTTATTATAACCAAGAATCTGAAGATACTTTCGATTGTGAGTCACAGAAACATACTCTACTTTGCATATCTGTACACATACACATATTTAGTACAAAACTAAGTTTCAAGAAACTGTGCTCACACCTGTCACAGGAGATAAACTCTATTATTTTCTATTCCACGTCATTTTTAAAATATAGCTTGTGCCCACTACATTGATTTCAGAACCCATGAAAAGGTCTCATGTCATTTCCAAAAATGCTTATTACTCTTACTAGATCATGCCCAGGTTAATATTTACCCTCCAAGGATCTACAACAGTGTTCCTACATAGAAAATATTTTGATACTGGTAAGACAGAAGTAGAGTTAAATTTCAGTAAATCCCAAGTGCTTCTAACAGGTGGAGACCCTTTTGGTGTCAATAAACGTCTGATGCTGATAAAGTTAATTTTGTCTTCTTGAAAGACAGGAGGGTCTCTCTCTTTTTTTTTTTTTTAAGATTTTTTAACTATTTATTTTACAGAGAGAGAGAGAGAGAGAGAAAACAAGCAGGTGGAGTAGCAGGTAGAGGGAGAAGCAGACTCCCCACTGTGCAAGGAGGTCCCCCCCCCCCGCCGAAAGGGGCTTGATCCCAGGGTCCTGGAATCATGACCTGAGCTGAAGGCAGCCACTTAAACAACTGAGCCACCAGGTGCTCTAGAGGGGTCTCGTCTTTAATCCTACCTATACCATGTCACCTTCCCTGAAATCTCCTGCCCACAGAAAAACTCTCCCTTTTCTCCGGATATTATCTCTAATAAATTTAGCATTTCGATCAGTCTAGGTCTTGGATGCTTATACAACATCAGTTTGGGTTTATAACATACTTATGCCATTTTTCTCACTGATTTTTAGACTTCGTCTCTAAGTTATGGTTGAGGACTATGTCCCACACATCTTTAGTAACTTTATCCCACCAAGCCCATCTTGTTCTCGGAATACTGATTTTCAGTCCGTGATGTAGGATGCCCTAGGATTAACCTCCAACAGAAAAATCTCTGTGCTTGCTCTGACACACAATGCAGAGGACAGCAGCACCCTCCACTTGGCAAAAATCTCTCTGAGTCAATGTTATTTCCATGATTGGGGTTATAATGAGGAAATTCTCAAAGGTTGGCCCCCAGCAATTGAATACAGTAGATACACAAACAATGTTAGTAAATTTTCTGCTTGTTTACAACAACAAAAAAAAGGGCAATTAATGTTCTGAAAGAGAATTCTTAAGGGAGGGCATGGTCAGGTATAGGCTGGTTAGTAGCAGCTGGGATGCGGGAATTTATTGAACCCAGGACAGATGTCAAAGCACAGAATGAATTTCTTACCTAAATCCTGAATTCAGGTTTCTTGTGTTTGTGTGTGTGTGTGTGTGTGTGTGTGTGTGTGTGTGTTTCCTTCCAAGATACTTCTCCCATTGCCTGGGTTCCTTTCCTAGTCACATTTTTTATTGCTAACATTCCCATTTAGATAACAGGAATGAAGGGACAGTAGAATATTCCCCTGCAGTGGGGCTGTGCTGTAGGGTTTGAATACATGGTGAGTCACACACAGCCGTCTGGGTCACCAGACTGGAGGTGGCAGGGAAGAAAGGGGGGGGGGCGGCTATGGAGGGAAGAGAGAGCCTGGAAAAACAAAACCCCTGGAAGGTCTAGTGAGAGAGCTTCTCTGTCCCGAACTCTGTCTTCTATTGGGTCCCCTGACACCCCCATACACAAAAGTGGGGACCTTGAAGTCTCCCCTGGGATGCAGAGTAGAAGCTCAAACTAGGACAGAGACACACACACCTTTTGCCTATAGTAACTAACCTCTCCGGGGAAGGGATCGGAGGACGGGTGGGTGCAGGTTGCAGTCCCATTCACAGAGAACCTCTGTCTCCTGAGTGCTTAGGAGAGACTCGAACTACCAGGAAAAGGGTGCTGTATTGCCGTCTGGCTTTCTTCCCGTCCTATTATGTTGTTACCATCACTTCTTTTGCGGAGCCCCTGGTAACCTGGATGGTGTACGGCCACTTTGCAGTCCCGGGACGCGCGAGATGCCGCTTTCTTAGCTCAACACCACTTCAACAGAGTTAGGAAAAAAAGTGTCCGCTGCTGCCTTGCTCTATCCAGAGGTGGGCTAAAGGATGTTAAGGGCTGTGCGTCCTTGGAACCAACTTGCCCGCCTCCAAGGGCGCTCCACCAGCCTGGTTTTTGCGCCTTGCCTGGAATCGGATTGTCCCGGGTTCCTCCTGGCATCCAGGGCTTTAGGAGGGAAGAGAGAGGAGTCGCAGTCCCCAGTACCAAGTGTGGCACTCCAGACCCCCGTCTTCCAGCGCCGTCCTCACTGCGCTCACTCACCCTAGGTTACTGTGCCCACCATCAGTCCCCTGTGTGGATGGTCGCTGTTCCCCCAAAGGCAGCCTGCGCCCCCAGCTCCGGACAGCTCTCCAACTCCGAACGCTCTCCCAGGGTTTGCCGGACCCCCATGGTTCCTCTTGTTTCCTCCTGTCTCCCGGCTCCTTTTCTTGCCTCCTCTCAGCACCCCAGCTCCTAACCAAGCGTTTTCCCACCCATCCTCATCCCACTTTCACTACCTCGCTCACCACCGACCCTCTCTCCACAGGCTCTCAGGTGGTGCTGTCCCCCGAGTAGTGGCTGTAGGAGCCAGGGTGGCACGGTTTCTGGGTGTGGGTTCTTTTGGAAACTCAGCTCCCTCCGGAATTTGCATCCTCCGGGGAAGGGACAGGGCTCCCAGAAACCTGCATCTGGGGACTGGCTACGAATCTCCCCTCCCAGACTGTCGCCCCCCCACCCACCCAACCTCCCTACCCAAGGTCTAACTCGAATCTCTCTCCCGCTCTCCGTGTTTACGCCGCGTTTTAGTCTCCGGGACCCGTGGGGTGAGCCCCAGCCGGGACCCGAGCAGGGCAGCTGCCGCGGGCGTAGCCCCACTTGCGGGCCGGGGCTAGAGGGGCTGGCATCGAGGCGCTCGGAGCTCTCCTGCTCGCCCCTCCCTCTCCAGGGACTGGAGGGGGCTGGCGGGGGTGGGAGGGTTCAGGGGAGGGGGGGGCTGACGCTCATCAATTCCGCTGCCACCTCCTCTGCAGCCCGGGGGGAGGCGACCGGGGGTGGGGCGGGAGCGCGGGCGAGCATTAAGACTCTTAAGTCGGGAGAAGTTTGCGCACAGCTCAGAGCTGGGCGAGGGAAGGCGCCCGGAAGGTGAGCCTCCTGGACTTTGGTGAGGTGGAAATAGGCATGGGGAAAAAACAGTTACCTTTTAGCCTATAATACAAGCTGGGTCTAGGTTTAAACCATCACTTAAAGCAGAAGCAAAGTGTCAGGAAATCGGGAGGGGGTCAGGAGAGGGAGAGCTCTGGACTAACGCAGTTTGCTCTCACGTCAAACTAGGAAGCCAGCCCCCCCAGGCACTGGGTGGGCTGCGCCGCGGCTCGCGGACCTTCCTGGGTTGGAGAGGTGCGCACCGTCTGCACCTTACCCGGCGGCTGACATCTCCTGCCCAGGAGATGGGCGCTGGAGCTTGAGTTCCTGAGTCTCTGGAGCCACCACCTGCGAATGTCCTTCGCTTCTCCGGAGCTGTACCCAGCCGCCCTGTGAGACTATTCCAGGTAAGGAGTGTCTGGGAATGGACAGAACTTAAAGCTTTGGGATGTTCCCCGGGAATGGTGAACAGTGGAGGGGCACAAGGTACCTTGTTTTTTTTATTGCAAAACTGCAGTTTGATTGTGGTGCTTGAGGTTCAGATGTAGGGTCCCCTTAGTCTCGGTTGCCTCACTTTACCCTTGACTAGAGAAAAGCTGGTTGTCCTGGGAGGGTGCTACAACTTAGGATTTCCTATTGAAGACTCCTGATATATATATATATATATATTTTTTTTTTTTGGTGACTTTCTCTATGTTTCTAATATCAGTTTTTTCTCAAAACTTTTATTTTCCAACTTATTGGGTATGAAAATTATGGGGCTGAGAGTTGTGGATTTTTTCCAAGAGGTGTTTATTAGCTAACAAACAGATAATATCGGCATCTATGTGATGTGTCATGGTTGTTCTGGATATTGGAAATGAGTACAGTGGTGAATGGCGTTGCTTGTTAAGTCATGTTTTACAGAGAATTATTTTCCAACAATCATTTATGCATAGCAGCCATTCTTCACACCTATTAGGAAAAATATGTTGTGTGCGTAGTTTCCAAAGGGGTACTCTTTTTTCATGATGCTCTTTCCAAGCCTGGGTGAAAGACATCAAGAACAGCTCTAACAGATTAATTCTTCTTCCCCAGTCATTTTCCTTGAGGTGCAAGGAAATCCAATCAAAGTCAAAAATCAAGAATCTGGTTAGATTTTTAACCCATTATTCAGGATTTACTTTGCAAATCTACCTAAGAAAAGTTCTATCTGAAAGCTTTACCTAACGTTATATGGTATATGCAAGACTAGAAGGCAGGGTTCCATCTGCCGATCTTCTGGAGATCCCCAACGATTTGGTGGCTCTAGTTAGCCTAACCCAAGACAGCTGTTCAAGGCTATTTGTTGAAAATTATTGGGTGATGGAAAGTGAAATGTTGAAAAGAAATCAAAGTGTGACCATGTATTTACTGAAACTAATCTTTAAACTGCAGAGTGTCCAAGTTTGAGTGTGTCTTAAATGATAAGAGAAAGCAAGTATTTTATACATTTGGGCCACTTGGGCTTACCGGTGAAGACAAAGTAGGGATGCTTTTTATTATTGTGGGACTTTTAATAGCATGTTGCTAGCCTACTACGTGTTCTCTTAAAGAATTCAGCTTTTAAAAGTGGAGATTGCTGGTTTTCTACACTAGCATCATGAAGGGAGCTAAGGTGGTTGGATTTGCAAACATCTTTGTAGTTTAAGTCAGTATTCTCAGTGGGCACTCCTTTCTACTCAATATTTTAACATAGCTGAAAACATCCGTCAGCTGGGATTTGTTTTGGTTCAATGCCTCTAATCTACAGTTAATTTTAGGAACTAGAGCCACAAGAATAATATTCAGTCATATTGTAAAATGCTCTAAGATTACTTATTGACCACACCAATACATTGAGTAAACATGAAATCCTTATTATAACTTATTCACAAGAACACATAAATAATCTTAGAGTTGTATTGTTTTCATGATGCTTGGAGTTCAAGAAAATTAGCTGATATAAATATGGCTTCTGTTTCCCATCTTGTTATGTTTCTGAATTCCAGATAATGAATGATGATGGATGGAAAAAGGTAGCATTTGCTTCAGTCAAAGAGATGGAGCTAAATCTTAGTATAGTAGTGTTGTGGCTACTCTGTTCTTGGTGAACTTCTTAGAGCCTTTAAATATTGACATGAATAAAGATATTATCTACTGTTGGTTTTTATTACATTAAAAATAAATTGGAAATAGGAGACGTGATATTTTCAATGATAACCTAAACCAGTGTTCTCAACTCAGGCTGCAAATTAGAATCAATGGGAAAGCTTTCAAAAAAATTATAAGTCAATCCAGACCCTTCCCCAAACCAATTAAATCAGAATATCTAAGGAAAGGGGTCCACATTTTTATTTTTATTTTTATTTACATGATTTAATGTGCAGCCATGATTTGGAACCACTGATTGAGATGGTTCCCGTCGGATTTGGTAGAGCCTGTTAATTTTGGGGGGTCTTGATGAAAATAATGCCATATGTTCTACTGTTGTTCTAATCTTTTTTCTTTAAGAAAATATATCTAATTTGATTTCCCAATTAGAAGAAAAAGAGGACTTTTTTTCCCTGATGGTAGATGTTTAAACCATAATAGCTTCCGGGAAAAACATTTTTTTTTTTTTCTCTCCAGAAAGCAAGCTATTGAGTTTGAAGCTTACCTGACCATCCAGAAAATGGTTTCATAAATTAGCTCTAGCTTTAAGAGATGTTGAAAATAATGCTTTATGAAACATAGAATTTGATTTCATTTTTTCTAAGACCTGAATGATGTGTAATGTGCAAATATGTATGCTTTTGAAGGACAGAAGGAGGAAAGTACTACCATTCTCTTTGGCACACCAACGAACATACCCTGGGTGCCAACTATGTTCTAGCATTTTCACATAAATTATTTTAAGGCTCACAATAGCTTTGTGAGGTACCAGCTATTATTTTCATTTTACATATGAGGAAATTAAGGACCCATCAGGTTAATGAACTTGCTCAAAGCCATAAACCAAACACATTTGGCATGTGTTTGAACCCAAGTCTTCTTATTCTAAGTTTAATACTATTATAACATATATATGTATATACATTTTTTTTTTAAATTTAAAGGCAGCATTAAAAAAAAAAGTAATATTGGTCAAGAGCACAGATTCTAGAATAGCTCTGCTTTTGTTTTCAGCCTGGCTCCATCATTTTCTAAGAAGCTGTCCATTTTGGGGCAAGTAATCTAACCTCCCCATGCCTTAATTTCCTTTGTAAAAGGAGGTTTCTCTAATGAGAATTAAATGAGTTAATATTTGTAAGTCACTGTGGGTAGGTGCCTGGTGCATAGTAAGTTCTATGTGTTGTATTTTTTAAAATGTTATTCATTAAAAAATATTTTTGATTGTTTATTATATGCCAAGCCTCACATTAAGCCTGAAGATAACATAAACAAATAAGTCATGCCCCTATACTCAAGGATTCTGTGTCTAACAGAGAATGACCAATACATAAATAATTGTTCCACTCTGGTGTGAGATTTTCTTCCAGTTTAATTATAATCAAAAGCAATTATTTTGTGTGACAACTGTGTGGTTTTCAGTGTTAATATGATCTTTCAGGGCTCCATATAATGAGTATTATGAAACCAATTGATAATATATTGTACTGTCACAGTGGTATTCATTTGTTTTCAATTCTATCAAAACACAGGAACCAATATTAATTAACATGTTTCCGACTTTATCAGTTTAGAAAACTGGTAATATGGAAAGGTTTGGGGTCTCTAAAATTTTATTTTAATATTTAGAGGCAATTTACAGAGTAATTTAGAGGCAAAAAATTGGTAGAAAATGTCCTCAGAATCTCTTCTCAATACTTCTAAGTGCCATTTTCATGCATTGGTTTTCTGAAAAGTGTTATGTGATTGGAATGTAGTTTGGGGTGCTTGGGGTTTTTTTTAATTTTGTTTTGGAAAATCATTTTAAGGTAGGAAATGTTGACCAAGGAGTCCAGTGAAAGGTCTCTAACACCGGGCTGGCCCGGCAAGAGTATCTCATTGGAGCTGGCTATGCTTCTACCATCGTGCCTGCAGTTCCGTGCCCCTGCCTTGTGTCGCATGATACCTCCAGGGTACCTGTGAATGCCTGAGGTCTAAGTCTGTCTTTGTTCAAATGAAAAGCCTTTCTTTATTAAAAATAGTATATAAATTGGTACTTTTGTAAATGAAGAAGACAGTGCTCCAAACCTAAGGAGCTGTTTCTCAAAGAAACAAAGTCCCTAGCTCGGTGAAATAGTTTCTGTTTTTGCAATCAATATTTGACCATTCTACCTCATTGCCATTTCCGTTTGCAAATATATGTCTTTATTCTCTCTTACCAAGTCTCAAGACTATTCCCAGTTTTCTTCACAAATGCTGCATTTTTCTTCCTCCTACTTTCACTGCCATCCCTTTATTTTGACCTTTTCTTGTTATTTTTAACAAAATAATTAAATATTCTCCTAATGTTTGGTCACATTCAGCCTCTGTGACGCAGTCAGTGTTATACAACACAGTCGGACTTACGTTCTAAGCTCCCATTTTGTCACCCTCGATTCATGATTATTCGGTAATTGCTAAGGAACCATAAGACTTAGAACCCCTCTTTAGCCTAGCATTTAAGATATTTTATGATATAATTCCATTTTACCTTTCCCAACCAAGTCAAGTGGGAAACTGCAACGACTCCCTGATTTCAGCTCTGAAGCCATAATGACGCAGCAAAAATTGACTCCCAGTGTGGAGTCCATCCTTCACACTCAACCCTTGTGCCCTTGCCTGTCAACCTCAGTTTATATTCTATTGCCTCAAAATTGAGGTTGGTAGTGGGTGGGGAGCCCCTTCCATCTGGGGTTCAGTGGTGAAGCTGCATTGCTTTGATTTTTGCTTCTTCCCACAGCCCTAGTCCCCCTCCCTGCCTTCTCCTTGTCTGCTAGTTCAAAATTCAACATTTCAAATCTTAACTTCCTCCATCACGCAAAATGTCTTACTCGTTCTCCGTAATACATCCAACAAATTTCTGTCCTTAGAGCTTTGTTCATATTTTTAAGCTAAGTACATATTTACTAAATGCTTATTATGTCCTAGTCAGGGGTTATTGGGACAGGTTACAGTTCCTGGCTTCCTGGGGACTGCAGAACACAGACAGACCAAGAGACAGTTACACAACCATCTGGTAAGTACTCCAATAAAGAAATGTCATGAATGTTCTGGAAGCTGGGAGGAACAGCACCCAGCGGGGCATCCGGGAAGCTTTCTGAGGGAGATGACCCTAAAGGGGACATGACTCGGCATTGATATGACAAAGCAGAATGAGCCAAATAAGGAGGGGAAGCGATGAAGTGTGTTAGAGGCAGGACATGAGGCTCTAAAAAGCCTGGATGTTTGAAACAACATGGTG